TGCATACAACTGTATTCTTAGCAGTATGGCCAGTGCAGCCTGAACACTGGTACAGTTATAATGAGAAAAAAAGAAACATTTTTTGCAGCAATCAAAGGAAAAACATGGTCAAAAAGAGGGACACTGTAATATAAATTGGTTAAAATTCAGTAACTGAGTAAGAGTCCCTGAAAGTTTCACCTCCACGCCCTTCCTTCACGAGACAGTTTTCAGAGGAGCCACCTGACCTGCTGTGACTCCTTAACCTTACCCCCTCGAAGGTAAATTCCCACTATTTCCTCCTGTGAATCATGATTTCTGTGCCACAGATGGTGGTGTGCTGGTGGTTAACCACAGCCCCAGCATATTGTATAAACATCACCTTGACAGGGCAGCTCTCCCACAGCCCAGGCACAGGCAGCAATCACCCACTGACAAGGTGCATCTTTGTTCTCACAAGGAAAGAATAAATATTTGCAGGTCCCACCCGTTCAGACACCCCAGTGTCACCTCAAGGTGTGGAGATTCCACAGAATCATACAATCAAAGAATCAGATGGGTTGGAAAGGACCTCTGAGGTCATCAAGTCCATCTTTTGATCTGCTACCACCACAGTTACTGGACTGTGGCACTGATGCCACATCCAGTCTCTTCTTAAACACCTCCAGGGATGGAGAATCCACCCCTTCCCTGGGCAGCCCATTCCAGTGGCTGAGCATTCTCTCTGAAAAAAATTTCTTCCTAATATCCAACCTAAACCTCCCCTGGCAGAGCTTAAGCTCATGCCCTCTTGTCTCACAGAGAGCTGCCTGGGAGAAGAGACCAACCCCCACCTGGCTACAACCTCCTGTCAGGGAGTTGTAGAGAGTGATGAGGTCACCCCTGAGCCTCCTCTTCTCCAGACTAAACAACCCCAGCTCCCTCAGCCTCTTCTCACTGGACTTGTGTTTGAGTCCCTTTCTCAGCCTCATTGCTCTTCTCTGGACCCGCTCCAGCACCTCAATGTCCTTCCTGAACTGAGGGGCCCAGAGCTGAACACAATACTCAAGGTGTGGCCTCACCAGCGCTGAGTACAGGGGAAGGATCACTGCCCTGCTCCTGCTGGCCACACTGTTCCTGATCCAGGCCAGGA